AATCTCAAGGTTTAAGGGAAGATAAAGAGTGTATACACCTACGCCATTGTGACCGATTCTGAGCCATGTCACCTAGAGTCTCCAACCATTGGTTACGATAGTCACGCGGACCCCAACCAATTAGTCTGCATCTACCAACATGGCTCAGACTAGAAGTTAGTGACTTCAAGCACTGATGCCATGTACTGTCAGAAATAACGGTCTCGTCGACTGAATTTTCGGGCATCTATCTCCTACCAGGAGGTCCACTTATCAACTTGGAATATGCTGATGACATCGTCCTGTTTGGTGAAGACGCTGACAAAGTGCAGAGTCTTCCGTTGTCGAACGTGTCGGCAACTTCACTTATCTTGGAAGTCTGATCAGACCTAATGGGTTGATGTCTGACGAAATCTCTGCACAGATTCAAAAAGCTCGTTTCGCATTTGCCAACTTACGTCACCTATAGCGAAGACGAGATGTCCGTCTATCAATTAAGAGACGAGTATACTGCGCAGCAATTCGTTCTGTTCCACTTTATGGCTGCGAAACGAGAAGATACTCTTAAGTTACTAGTATTTGATTACAGATGCCTTAGAAATATTGCTCGCATCTGCTGGGATCACCGGGTAAGCAATAGTGAGGTTATGCACAAGGCATTAGGGAATAATGGTAAACCAGTGGATGAGGTTGTGAATCTTCATCAATTGAGATTGTTGGGCCACTTGTTACGTATGCCTGAACACCGATTACCACGACGCGCAATGCTGATTAGTATTGGGGACGGTTGAAAGGAAGTTAGGATCGGCCAAACCGAAACGTGGCATCAGTGCTTGAAGTCACTAACTTCTTGTCCTAGCCATGTTGGTAGATGCAGACTACTTGGCTGGGGTCTGCGTGACTATCGTAACCAATGGTTGGAGACTCTAGGTGACATGACTCAGAATCGATCACAATGGCGTCGTGTATACACTCCTTGTCTTTCCTTAAACTGTGATATTAAAATTACTTTGTGTTTTCCTTTCTACCTACTAACTCTTCCTGTATTATATCCTTATACACAATCTTTCTTTTATATATATATTACTACCATTGAAGTAACTACTTCTATCAATTTGTTGTTTTTATCTTGTTGTACTAATGAGGTATGGCACCTTGGAACGATGCATATATGTGCCTGGTCCTATGTTGTAACTGACTTACCGATTTCTAGTAGGATGTTTATGACGAAATCAGATTAAAGAAGGAAACTGGGCAACATTTCAGAACATCACTTAAAGTTGACAGTCGTAGTGTCAGTTTGTTATAAGCCCTAACTTGACCGATAATGTCCGACTGGAGAGTCTTTACAAGTTTGATATACGTCTCTGATGTCTCTTTAACTGACAAACATTATCACAGAATCGTAATGCAATGGACCTTTTTCTCGTCCCGAAGCCCCGGCGCGAATCTATAAACAGTGGAGTCCACATATGTCGGGCGTGAGACAGAAATCGCCATTGGCATTGGATATTGATCACACAATATTTTCCTAACTCAGTGGACATGTATGTACGATATGTTTTTCTGAGTTCTTGATATACCGTTTTATCTGATGGCAGATAAATAACTTTACTTACCAAGTTCTCGGGTATAAGCCACACTCTAAGTGTGAAGGCTAATGATAGCTTTTTTGTGAGTAGTTTTTGATGGGTTAGCGTCTTACTTCTCTAAACTTACAGCCAGCAGCGAAAATTCGTACTGCAAGATAAAGTATACTATTTTCAGAGTTGGATTTATAACCCATTTTTGTTATGGAAAGACAAAATCGCTAATTATGATGACTCTCTAAAGCTACTCTACTACCATCGCACCTCAACCCAATCGACTAAACAACTTCCTTCTAGAGCCGTAAGCTTTCTATTTTCAGTTTTACCACTCTCCAATTGACCTCTATGACATGGTATGACCTCAAGTAGCAAATATTCTATATATTATAACTCAATCGGTCATCATGGCAAGCAGGTCCGGCTACCACGTCGAATTAACAGTTACAATCAGCCATATATTTGTAGACGTATCTCGATGTTTCTATCTGTTATGCTATCATATTTACGACCAGCAAATGAGTGTATGCTTATTTGCCCGGGCTTGGGACTGACAGTAACTCTAAAAGAACTACAGGCGGTGTCAAATAAGTGCATAGATCCATAAGTTTATTTATAACCACATTGTTGCCTAAATAATGGAATTCTGCCTACTCACTAAATATGTAACTCAACAAGAAAGCTACTAAAATTTTAAAATTATCAGTAGACTATTTAATCTCTATATATTTGCTTTGAAGCGATTAAACATAGTACCTTTGTACTAATTTAAAATCTCATTGGATTTATTGTTTACTATTTTAGATCATATGGATATAAACGGAGGTTTGTTTAACGAATCAGGTAATGGATTTCATATCATGAGAAAAACATCATCATATTTAGTTTACTATTAAATGCACTGTTGCTCATTGTCTGTCTTACCAATTGTTTTTTCTTCCAAATTTGATGTTATCTATGTGATTTAACTATTTACTCAAAATCTAAAGCAAAATTGATTATCTTTATGTATGCCTAGTTATTTCTTTCATATTAAAAAACTTTCTTACGTTCGTTACTTGCTTTGCGATTTCCGCCTCTTGTTTTGCATATAGATTTCGCCTATAAGGGTACTGGATGTTATTATTTTAGGCTTAGTTATTGTTGTCTGTTATATTTCATCGCTGCCAACAATTATCAGATTTACCACACTTACCTCTTAATTTAATTTTATGTCGGATTTCAGGAGAATATGAACAAACCATAGATGAGCAAATCCCAGCAATATACACTTCAGAGGATGAGCATACTCGGACGCCAGCTGTCTTATCAGATACATGTAAGTGTCTTTTCATGGTTCTTGGACTGAGTTCATATAAATTATAGCGCACTCACCCATTTTTTCTGATAACCGTCAGAAAGAAGTACAACCGTTAAGAGGTGATAATAAGCATGTGGAAAACGATACAAATGATTCATCAGTACCATCAAAGAAAGCTAGATTAGCAAGTAAGTATATAACGCCGTTCATTTCTTTTTGTCCTTTTACTCAATAGTTCCTTCGGGTTTAGTTTCCTATGCTATCGATGAAGATGATGATGAGCATACGGTGTTAGATACAGATCAGAACACTGATTCTGACGGTGAAAATGATCCTAAACCAAAAGGTGATCATGGATTCCATCTTGGTAGTATGGATATCCCGTTGGATAATTCGGGCGGACCCCCAACTATTTTCAGTTCTGACCAGCCTATCAACATCTTGTCCCAAAACCAACTTCATATTTCGGAACCAGTAAATGATGTAAAAAATTCAAACCTAATCACTAATGAAACAAAATCAGAAAGTCCTACCCTTACAGAACGCCTTATTCAGGCGGTTCAATTGCCCTCTGAACCCACTGGTCATTGTTCAATGGTACTTCAAGAAAGAGTAGAGCGAGCAGTGCGTCGTATGCGCTTGGATATAAGCTATGATCCTAACAGAGCAATTCAAGATAACAAAGCGTTCCGTAACCCCAGGTTTGTAAACGTGTGGACCAATTTAAACTCAGTTTTATTTTAGTATTTATGAAAAGCTGATCGATTTTTTGAAAATCGACGAGAAAGGGACTAACTTCTCTACGGTGAGTCTATTGTTACAAATGCCTAATATCATGTAAATCATGTATACTGATCTAGTGCTCCTGTGCTTAGTAAATTATGTTGATATTGAGGCATAAAGAAGAGGCCATTTTATGTATTAACTATGTGTTTAACAAGTACAAATGTCCTACAAACGGCAGAAAATATTGATATGTTTAAAATAATCTAAAGATCTCTTTCCGGTAGTCCTGTGTTTTAGTGAGACATAGGTTAGTGTAATGATGTTCTCCATATTATCCCCTCATATTCGCGCAATTGCAACTGATTTTAAACCATAGATTACAATTTGCTTATATAATCCAGACAGGAAGCGCATACCTTCTCTACGCGGTTCAGATCAATATCTAATGAATTAGTAAACCGGCCTCTTAGTACAATTCCTCTTATTTCCCTCTACTTCTTGTCTTGCCAACATATCGCACCAGGATAGAGGTTGGCTACAACGTGTAACGTACATCCAGCCAAAATCGATGATAGTGCATAGCTTTATTCACTGATGTACCATATTAACATAGGTGTGAGAGCTAGTAATAGTAACTGATTGCCTAAAGTCAAGTAGGGAAATTGGGGTTCGAGCCTTTGACTATGGGTGAAAGTCTAACGCCCTGACCACTGAAATACCATCAAACTGATAAGTATTCATTTTGATAGAATTTACAAACCGATTGTGTTATTTCCAATGCTTGGTATTACAATAGCATCTTAGGTGAATTCCTATTTGTTATTTTATGGGTAAAACATAAAGCTACTAAGTCTTTGTTTGATAATCAATGTAGCTGAGTTTATCAAACTTATTTTATGCTATTCACTATTTGTATGTAAAAACATCTCTTATGTGAAACTTTATGAAGGTTGATTGTACGTAATATATCATGAGTACTTCATGACTCATATTTTGATCAGGATATATATGATCCCTATCGTTGGACTCCGCAGTCATACTATGAAGAACTTGCAAAGGTGCAAAATCGTGAAATCGACAGACTGATGAAAATACAAAAAGAACTTAAAAAATCTGACCCAAATACAGCGAATGCAAACAACAGCACAAGTGCAAATGCACCTAAAAATCCAATTACTAGCACAGACAAACCCAGTGCAACATCTGGAGGGTCCGTTTCTACGGGGTACATAGGTTAGCTAATGTATTTTTTCTGAACTTTATCTATTTCTCCCTTAAAAAAATGTGCTGAAGAAAGCGTAGATATGACAGTGTTATAACACACATGAATCGTAAGTGAATGCAAAAAGACCTTTTTTTCTCATATGTAAAATAATTGGTTCATTGTTGTTTATAGTAGGTGGTGATGTCTTCGAATGAGTTAATCGCTTTATAAATGTTCTTCGTAAAAGAATCTATTTCATGTTCACTTTTGCCTTATCAACACATCCTGAAATTAAGGGTGGAAATAAAAAATCTGACACTAATAATTGAGATCGAAATCACAATAACCAACTACATTTTTGAAGTCATCTTCTCTGTTTTTAAGATAACATGTTACACAATCTCGTATATAATTTCTAGGATGTTATATAGAATGGTCAGTTTAGTATATTATATTGTGTCGTAAATTGAATACAAAACCAGTACTCAAGGCCTAGAGATGTGTATTGTAGGCGTGAATTGTGTTTCACGTACATTTTCAAACCCTCGAAGGAAGCCTTCATTATATACAAAGTAATAGATTGTACCTAAAGAACGTTTCCTACAATGTAGTTAATAAAATTTCATTCTTTGTGTTATAAATCTTGTGTAGCAGCAAAAAACCTTTTCATTGTTTATATAGATTTATGAATAAAGACTACTTCGAAGGGAACCTTACACCTTTTTACCGCTTGTGTTTCCATTATGCGTCTTAGAAATTGCCAGTCTGATTTCTACCAATCTTTGACGTCCTTGCTCTGACTGTATTTCAAAGAACGATATTTTTATTCATTGTAAACTGGTATTTTTTAACAATTACGGATCCATTAAATATATTTCGGTGTAGAAGAGTGGGAAGACTCATGAAATAACCTTTGTAAATCCACTGAATAAAACTACATTGTATTAGTGAAGATAGCGAATTGACTTACAACTATTGAAGAAGCAAGTATCATCATAAAACGAAATGTAAGATTTTTCAATAGACTCTTAACTTCTGGTATCATTGATAAAGCGAACAATGAATGTAAATCTCACATCAGTTACTCTCAAATTTGAACGATTTTGATTCAGATCAAAGGATTAAAGTGTAGTTATGATTGTAACATCAGTGACATTTCATTCAATTTAGGAACTAGGAACTTATGGCTTCATGTATTTTCTGGGATTATAGCACAAGCTATAATTACTTGAAGGAAGATAAATGAGCAAAATTCTTTAAAAATAAGGGTATCGATCAAAAATCTAAATTTCGCTAGTCAAAAGACAACCCTTTTCGTTTATTTTTAAAGACCGAAAAAAAAACGATACTCTCCAAAAGCACAAAGTAACTTCATTATTAAACGTTGAATGACCAAATTCCATCCAAAACCGCATAACCTATTCATGAGTTTTATAATTAGAATAGTAATCAATAAACACAGCTCTTCAAAAATGTGGTTTGAGTGTTGTAAAATCTACTAGTCACAATGATCATAATGTCAGGTTGATATTGCAAATAACTCAAAACTCAGTATCCTTTTCATGTAACTTTGTATTCTTGATTCAAATTATAAGCCTATCATACTTTTAATTTACAGAACCGAAGAAACCAAGTAAATGGGACACAGGTATTCCTTCCAACGTTCAACCCCATGACACATCCTCAGAATCTGTTAAGTTATCTGTTCCTCCCGTTGGAAATTTGATCAAACGAAATTAAAACTAATCCAAATTACCAGATAATAACTTTGAAATAAGCTGCTCTTTTTATAATTTTTCGAAAATATTTTTCAATATGTTAATACAACAATAAAAGTGAAATACTCAACCATGTTAGTTTGTGTAAAAGAGATAATTTGCTCCAATCAACAAACTGTCAAAAGATAAACGTTTATGCATAGATATAATGATTAGGATTAACTTGAGGTTCCTGATAACTGTTTTCCTGCGTTTTGTGATGTGAGGCTGATGCAGGTAAAGATGATGGCAGACTATGCTTTAGATCAGGTCTAACTTGTGTACCAGGAATGTTCTGGTTATACAGTGCGTTGTTTGCGGGTGACCAATTCATGATGAACGAGTTTGTTGCTCGCGTCCAGTCATCTTTATAAACCTAAAATTGCAAAAAAACTTCCCTTTTTTAATACTATGTAACTGAAACGCATTTCCTCAAATTACATTTATTGTTCTATTTTGTAAATAACTGCCTGTTGTTATCAACCCACAACTTTCTTTAAATGGTTAGTCTTATTTTCCGATGAATATCCTTTTTACAAGTTTTTCAGTTTGTTCCACAGTTAATGAAATATAGCTACGTAGACAGACATATGGTCTGTATTTCTTTATTGAAGAGCTAGATAATAATTTTATAATTGAGGCTTTTCTAAATAACTCGTTTGCTCATAAGGATTATAAACACCATATACTAACACTAAAGGCCAATTTTACCTAACGTGGAAAGCTTTAGTAAATATACATCAGTGTATATGAGGGACGTTCTTGACAATATTGAGGTATGACTATGAAGACTGTTGGCCTATGTAAAGCTTAGTAACTTATCTCATCCCCCAAATGCCCTGGCGCGGCTCTCACGTGGCCACGTGCATACAACCAATGCCAGTGAAGTCCTACTCACTGTCTTCTTGTGGTGTGGCTGTTGTTTACAAAACTGGGGACGAAAGCGAATGGCGTATGAACCAATTGTTGCTGACCGGCTACCATCAGACTGCATCTCCTAAAGTTGCTCCACTGCCTTGTGGATTAGACTTTTAAGTCAAAGGCTCAGGGTGTGGCACCCTAAGAAAATCACCTACTTCGGTTTTGGCACCCGGGCAGTATCCCAGCCCTCACACAAATCGGATGGTTCATGTGGCGCATATATCTTTGGTACCCCCTTGTACCAATGTTTATGTGCTTAAATAAATAAAATATATATTAGGATTCGCATTGTACCTGTTATGTGACTATAATAGATACTATTCTAGCTACCCAGATAAATTTTAGTGAATCCAAGTCCAAACCTTATTTTTACAGACACAGATGAAACTATTTTATATTTAATTCAAAAAACCACACACCTGTATTGTTAAATATTTTACCAAGCTGGAAAGACGGTTGGTTACGTGTGCTAGGACCAACTGCTCATTAGCATCCCGGCGAACACGAACATACAAACTTCCTGCAAGGTCATTGTATCCGATCGACCATATGTGCTCATTTTGCAGCTCAAGAACACCATCAACTGTAGAGGCTTCTCGAAGCGCTTTATCCAAGGGGCTAACTAAGTGAGCGGGTGTCGTCTGAAGTAGTATCCTCCCACTATAATAAAATCAGAAATTAGTGTTTAACAACTACGTATCTAAGCAAGTTGATCCAGAGTAATTAAGAAACACGTTTTATGGTAGATAATCAGTCAAATGCAACGTACAACGTGGCATATGTGTACGTTGGTTCAAGTTGCCATACCACATTAACACAGAGAGACGAAATTGACAAGGCGAATCCCAAAGTAGTAACAGCATCAATGGTAATAGGAAAGATTAGACATCCAAGACACAATTCGAGAAGTACAAATTAGTGAAATGATAGAAATTTATGAGGAATTTAGAAACGTAGTATTTAAAAGAAGACAGTGTGAATGCACCTGAGCCTTTGCGAATGGTTCTCAACTATGTCATTCAGTTTCTGACGAATATAAAGAGAGCGTGATTCACCCTCGACGTATCTGGAGTAGAGAGCCTGTACAAGGTTAATGTGCGTCATGGTATGCCTTTTAAAGGCAGATAATTTCAAAAAGCCTGTTGATCTGCAGGATGAAATGCTGCTTTATAGTGCAAAAATACGATGGTCTGGAGTTGGTAGGTTTGTTTAGGCTCCAGAATCTGGCGAAGTGCGAATATTTGGTTCTCATGTCTACGTCCGGGCCTGAAAAAAGCCTGGTTTTCCAGGGTTCACCCTACATTAGTCCTCGTTAAGCGTTGGACGACTATCTAGGCAGTGCTTTAGACCGTATCTTATTCAAACTGATTCCTCTGTGGTTGTCACAAAAGGGATTTTGCCATATCGAATAAACTGGGACGATCACTGATCAACACCGACCGGATAGGACTTTGTCTAGTTTTCACACTAGTCGATTCCTCTGTTAATTTAACCCCTAAAACGACTATCATCCTTAAAAACCTCAGCGGCTAGTTCATTAGGGTCTGCTGCTCCCCCTTGTTTTAGATTAGATTTGGGTTATTCCGCTTCTTTAAGGGTTGTATGGGGCTTATGCTGGCATGCCATTCAGGTTGTTTGGTGAGTAGGCAATTGAAGGGCAACTGGAAAGCAGCTGAACTGTTTTCAAACTACTCTATCCATCGTCCCAGTCTCCTGGATTGATCGTAAATAATAGCACTCTCTTTTTCAGAAGTAGTCTCGCTAATTTTGAAATATTTAGTACCTACTCTCTTGATAAGTTTGAAAAGCTGTCTATTGTTGCTTATTCCATTACTTTTGCCTTAGCTGCCCATCACTACCCACGATCATTATGTAGACCTTTTTCAATCTACGCCCAAACTGTCTCCACCCCTTATGTTTAGAGTCTGACGGGATGTATTCCTGAGCAACTGTCAGTTCAGTAGATGTTGATTCCACACTGACTGTTCATAAACCTTTGGTCATAGTCACTCACAGATATTGCTGCTGTTTCACGTTTGTTTAGATATCATTTTAGTCTGCATCACTGAAGATCGGCCAACCGCTTCTCCATTTGTTCCTGAAGTTCATTATTGACGTTTCCTTCGTTAAGTTGAACTCTAGGGGGCTTTCTTGTTGTAGCTTTTCTATGTCAGATAAGACACAAACAAATCCATGCTCGTACTAAAGCATGATCAGACTCTAGATGTGCTGAAGAATGAGAAACATTCTTCCAACGATGGTTGGTGGTGTCATGATCTATTTGCGTCCATATTTAAGGGGTCGTCATGTCAGAAAACGTCAGAGCTCTTGAAAATATTTCTTAATCTGTGGTTCCTTACACCTTGGAATGGCATTTCACCTTCAGCGTTCCGATTGGTTGGTTATGTTAATTGGGGTCTTAACTCTCAGGTGGCGTACATCAGATCCAGTGGATAAATGTTTGGGACCGGTCACGCGGCTCTATAGCCAATCGTTTGCAATACACTATTTCTTCAATCATTAGAGCTTTGCTGTGAAGTATGAAGTCTGTGATGTGAGGTAGAGTCTACATTTCTAGAACCAACGTTCTCTATTTCCTCTATTACCTTGTGAGTAGGCAGCACCTATTAGGTACAGAAGGTCACCAAGTGAAAGCTCCACACTATCCACAACTATCTACCCCCTAATACAAGCAATTAATCCAAGACTACATAGATCCACACTTTTTGAATGACGGACTGAAAAGATACTACCAAACGGAATCCTAAAGAACCATAAATTACGGTGCATCAATTAGCTTAAACGAGCTAGAAGCCAATGCTCAATGATCTTGAGAAAATTCACGAACAGAGATGATTGGGACTTCTGTCTTCCATCCTAAAAGTTTGTTCCGTTATCCAGCTTCCTTTCATCAAACCAAAGTTAGAATTTTTACATCCTTAAGTTCTAATACCTCAGGCGACAACAATGATGTCACTTTGCTTTTGGCTAACAATAGTTCCTTACATATCAACCTTCTATAACCGCGTCAGCGAAGGCTTCAACCAAAACTTCAGTTAAATCCTAGAAGTGGATGTAAATACCAACTTCATGCACTGTAAACTATAGGGCCTAAATGAGGACACATCTCACCCGACTGTGATTCATTCTGCTATACTGAAAGAAGGCGCCTTGATTCTGAGAACACCCCTTGGCCCACTGTTTTCACATTTACTTGGCCTAGACGTAGTTTAACAAAATTAGACGCTGACACATGTCATTCCAACTGTTAGAAGAATCTAAATCAATGATCATTCAAGCTGCCATCTGAAAACTTCCCTTTAACAAGTACAGAGGTATTGGTATCTCCGGTTGGCAATAGCCTATAAGAGTATGTTTTAATTCGGTATTAGTACATTTGCATTTGCTACTATAATAAAAAACCTAATCCCAAAATTGTAGATTTGTCATGATGCAACTACCTAATCTATAGAATCTTACATGGATGTACCATTATTGTCTACATTAAAGCGTCCTATTTTGACTATCAGAAATGTAATTTTTGTCAATTCTAAAGAACTCACATGAGCTTTAGAAAGGATACATTTAATGTGAAAAGGAAATTAGTTAAACAGCATGACCATGGGGGGAACAACTTGCTACCGACACACTTTCCTCCGGTCAGCAGTATGTTGTGCATCCGAGAAGTATCACGGCCCACACACAAAGTAAAATAACAAAAATTACTGGAAATCGATGTGACGGGATGAAAAGTCAAAATTAGATTGATTTACTCATGATGATTTTTGTTCAAAATTGATTCCGTTTTAACTCAATGTAGTGATTATTCAGTGTAGTAATTTTTTTGTTTTTCTGTATGACATTTCATTCTATTTGACATACGATATTCTTGCATTAAGTTAACACGAACTATATTCAGCATATGATTTGTTATAACTGTAAATATTTTTTATATATGTGATTTTATGCTAATTAATAATCGAAGTGGTTGTATAAATCAATATATAAATGAATGTATTTCCGACTATGGTCGTCGTTGTAGTTTGTGCTTCCGGCTGCTTGTGGAATATATTTCCCTCTTCTGATCTTGAACTTCTCTCTCTATTTAGCGGCGCTGGAACGCATCGAAATAGTCAGCTGATTTAGTCATCGTGTCACTGAGTCTTAGTTCCGTTCACAGATTAGGTGAACTCGTAATCTCTTTGAACATAGCAGAAATACTGTTCTTGCTCCAATTGAAATTCAGACAACTCACATCCAATTGGTAACATACGTCTTTACTTTTTATATACTACGTCACTTATCTACTCTCTTTTATTCCCACTCTGTGTATCCTTATTTTTCAACTTATACAGCAGCTGGCCTATGGTGGAAACCCTGTCCTATCTAAACGATCTCGAGTCACTGACCGGTCGAAAGTTGAATGCTACCACCGAATACGAATACTAAAACAGTCTTTCAGAATCCACGTATACCATTCAAACTGGCTTCTTTCAGCGTTCTCACACTAATGCAGATCGGAAAACAAATGAGGTTGGTTATTTCTTTGGAAAGTCTTAATATCGACGTTTGTTGTCTATTCGAGACCCGTATTCCAGGCTCTAGTGAAGTACTACAATTCAGCACTCTATCTGTCGCTTCGAAAAGCTTGTTTTGCGTGCGTTTAAACGGAGCCCCTGTGACTGGCGTTTGTGCCGCACTAAGCGCTAGAGTTAAGGCAGCACTGATGGATTAGATCCCCATTAACAGTCGGTTATGTGCTGTTGAATTAGAAATTTCCATAAAAGTAAGAAGAAATCGGTGTGAAAAACAATATCTTTTCTTCATCTCCTCTACGCTCCGACAGATTGCAGCCTGGATACGATCGAGGATGAATTTTACCACCAGTCAACAATTCTTCTACAGAAAGTGTGTTCAACAGATATTGTAGTACTAGCCGGAGACTTGAATAGTCTAGTCGGGCGTCTAGGCACAGGCTTTTGGAGTACCTATCTGGACTCTGATCGAACTTTTGCTTACGCTAATCTTACCTTACTTTTCAGTGGCCAACAAACTCGTCCTAAACGGATCGATGTCAGTAAATTGGCTTATATCCGATTATGCTACTTAACGCATATGTGAAAGACTCTATGTATGATTCATGACCTAAGATTCAACTATTTGTCTATAAAATGGGAACCAACAAAAAGTGAAAATATATGTGGCTGGCTTTGTTTCTACAGGAACTGTTGGCAACGAAATGTGTAGCACAGTCTATACTGTGGTACATAGCAAGTGAATTGCGATAGTGAAACACCGGATTTAGTTGATAGGGTGTTGTACAGATAGCTGTACTTTCAGTACTTCATACATTTATCTCTCCTCCCACTCTGTGGAGAGCTGGGAAGTGACAACCACTCTCATACCTATGATAGCACTAGAGTTTCCATTGTTCACTGTCAGGACCCCTGATATTCCTTCTACTTTCATAACCGACCCTTCCTCCTACGACTTTATCCCTACTTACCACCAATGCTAGATATTCGGGTCCACGAGAAGTTATTGATGGTTTCTTGAAACCGAGTTCTAAACTACATGTTGGAGCTCTCAGCATTTGAACCTTGGGTCAAATAAACCAACAGGCTTCCTTAGCTAGGGCTCTAGGAATCTGCGCCATTGATTTATAATGCATCTTCGAAACACAGATGCAGGATCCAAGTGTAGTCATTCACTTGACCTAACCAGTCAATACAGAGAACCGGCACGGTTTACCTTCCGTGTATCTGGAGACTGGACTGACACCTTTCGTGGCCCCACTGGCGCAGGTATAGCACTAAGTCAAAAAGCGGGATGGGCTCTCCCTGACAGGATTCCGACAAACAACCACTTGCCCGCTGTCCGAGTGAATAGGAAAGTAAGAACACAGAAAGACAGAAACACAACCCGTCGCCTCCCCATCACATCAGCCTATATTTCCGCCGATTGCAAGTCGAATGAGGTAAAGAATGAGTTTCTTAGGAAACTTTCTACTCTCCTACAAAAAGTCAAAGTATCGGATGTGGTAATCATAGGCATTTCAAATCAAAGTAGTAATCACTATTTTCTGTTCGTTGTTGTTCCTGCCTTTTCTTGTACGTAGCTTTACATTCTGGTTTTTATTGTGTGGCGCATATGTTTCAGGTGCTCCCTTGTACCAATATTTGTTCAAATATATAAACAAATAAATGACATCATATACACAAAATACTGCTCAAAAGAAAAAATGTTTACATCACCTGTACAGCATCATAGGCATCATTGTTCCAAATAACATGAGGGAAATTATCATTCCACCCAAAGTATCAGGCAAAGGGTCTGGGAAGTTTATGTGTTGTGACGTTTTTGACATATTGATTAAGATAAGATAAACAATACAGACCGTTGTAGTTGTGGTTACACCAATCAGTGAGATCGGGTTAACTCGTGGCAAAAGAACACGTGATAACCCGGGAATAATTCGACAGATTGTCCGGCTTATATCAGTCGTATGCTCCTATATTTAAAAATATTTGTGAAAGTATAGATTATTGGTCAGAGACCAGTTAACGAGTGTTATTCTCACGTTATTTCCTGTGAGTCCAGTTTATACTAGTTAATAAATTATGTTAATATATTTACTGTTTTATATTAACCGATTCATATCCTATTATGTTTACGATAGTTACTGTTTTCTTATGAACGATCGCCACTGACATTATGTTTATTTATTATGGTTCAATAGCAAGTTTGCCACGAATTCAGTCGTAAATCAGTGATTGTGGTTAATAAATAAACTTACATTATTTAGTATAGAATAATCTATTAACTGAATCAATGATAAATTTTGTTGTAAATGACCGATACTTTATAGTGTAGTAAAAACCAATACTGGCTAAAATTTAGAGCAAAAGGACTGTTTCATTGGGAGAAAGAAAGTTTATGACTACACATCACTTCGTGTCCAATAACTGTACGACAGATTATTTTCCAAAAGGAAGCTTTTCTATGTCAGGTAAGACACAAAAAACCCATGCTCATACTAAAGCATGATCAGAATCTAGACATGTGCTCTAGGATGAGTAGCAATCTTCTATCGAGCTTCCCCAACGATGACTGATGGCGTTATGGTCTGTTTGCGTCCATAGTTGAGTCGATTAGAGGGGGTTATCATGTCAGACGATCCCTATCTAGTTGGAGTGCGCTCGATAATCGTGATCGATGTTTGGAGATTTCAGATGTCATATCTCAAAATCGGTAACGGTGACGTAGATGCAGTGTTTTTTTATCTACATCTTGGTCTTGGGTTCAAGTATTCCTTCATACATACCTTCTCATCTAGTCTTTTTAAACTGTATTACCAATGTTTACTATTTCTTACAATCATCGATTCCTTTGCCATTCATCTTTTCAAATTTATTTTATCGCATTATTGCGGTATGATAACTTGGATCAACATTCATATTCACCAAGCTAACTGTTGATCGTGGCTGACTGATGTTTAAAAAGATAAGTCGTTGTTTCAAGATCGGGTATTAATACTAATAGTATTCCAGTCCCAGATACTATTTATTTTAATAGAGATGATGGTCGTTACCATTTTCATGATAGCTGAAAGCTAAGGATGCATATCAAATACTTGCAGCATGTTAAACAAGTGTATAGGAACCCAATGATACAATATCGTCTCAAAATGGACAGTGAGTGGCAAATTGAAATAGCCAATTGTATTACCAAACACAATCAGTGTAATTTTCGAGATAAAATTTATCCTGCAGAAACGTACTTTCTCAATCTTTTCATCCTAAAAATATATGTATATTTTTGTTAACATTTAAATTCAAGATCATCCGTGAAAGTTCATTTTTTGCGAGCAGTTGAATAGAAAGGTCAGTAAAGTTAGAATTACACCTTCGGTTCAGTTATTTATGAAGCACCAGATAATGTAAGTTTACGACACTATCCAATGCTTTGAATCCTTTTACTGTTACTTAGAACACCATGGTTTCTGGTTAAGTATTTGGTGAGTGCGTAGTCATGGTTGTCAATTTAACTGCAGTTTCAGCAATAAAAACTAGCAGATGCTTGCCTTTGTTTATGATGTTTTCAGCTGATTTTGAATAGTTAAACAGCATACAAAAAGAATTTAAAAAATCCTGAGTAACCCTTCAGTATACTTATTATGTAGATGATGGGGAAATCATTCACTTAATTAGAATAATATTTCATTTAGTGAGTATCATTGAAATTACATTACAATGTTTAGGTTGTTGACTTTCAATGATTTTGTTTTTAATATTACTGGTTTCGGTTTATTTAATTATAGAAGTGATTTTTTATGGGTGCGTATGCTATTTATATGATATATTGTAGTTACTAATACTACCACTACCTCCAAATTATTGACTCTCCGTCCATCTATAGTAGTTTAATACCTAGTATTGATATTGATTGTAAAAATACTACAAAGAATTCATAGCCTTTCGATACAACAGATCCGCAGTCGAACTCAAAACCCTGATAAAGTAATAATTGCAACCAACTTATTAAAGTGAATATATGAATTCTAAAACATCCTTGATATTTAAAATAAGCTAGCTATTGGCTTTTTTAATATTTTTAAAACTGATGAAGACAGGTTAATATATATTTGTAAAATCTCAGCGAACAAATTCATTCGCTGAGATTTTACAAATATATATTATTCCTACTTAATGTCTTACATCAACTCGGCGCTCAAATACTGTGAAACTATTCGCTCTAATTTAGACGAGAGTTCTTATATATGATGAAGACAGATTCCTTAAACAAAATAATGAATGAAATGCTCGATAAAAATTAGTTGGGAAATAATTTTTGCATACACGTATATATGACTGACTTGTAACCAACTTGATCCACAAGCTTGGATAACATGTGCAAAAGCCATATTATCAACTCCATAAATTGAAAGAAGATGAACACCAAACGCTATTAAACAAGGCGTAAGCATATGATTAGAAGAGATCTAAATTATGAAACACAAAACAATGATGAAACTACTTAAGTCTGTACATAAAAATTTAACCAAACATATACAGATAAAAAAAATACATATTAACTTTTGCATTTCACATTGGTCATCTGAAAGAAACTAGGCAAAAACTCATTGTTATATGGTTGTTGAGACAAATGAATATCGAGTCATTGATGCTGTAATAGACATATTTTCAAATTTAATAGGAAGCTTTAAAAAACGCTATTAAGAACAATTCCAGTAAACATCAAACTCAGGATCTACAGACCTTGTAATAAACACTTAACCATGTTGTGAAACATAGACCCTAAGAATAGAGGATGTTTGTAAGTTACTAGTATTCGATCATAGGTGTCGTCGAACCAGTGCTTGAGTATTTTGGGACCGCCGATTGAGCCAAGATAAGGTTAGACATTTATTATCTATTTATTTGAACACAAACATTGGTACAAGGGGGCACCAAATACATATGCGCCACAAAATAAGGATGATGCCAGTAACAGTTATCATTGATTTGTGTGAGGGCTGGGATACTGCTCGGATGCCCAAACCGAGGTAGGTGATTTTCTTAGGGGGCCACACCCCGAGCCTTTGACTTAAAGGTCTAATCCACAAGGCAGTGGAGCAACTTTAGAAGATGCAGTCTTATGGTAGCCGGTGACCAACAACAGGCTCATACGCCATTTGTTCCATCAGGATCCTGGAGCCCATGTACACTACTGGTTTGTAATCAGGGTTTTCCAACTCCCCTAGGTGGATCCTTCGTATCCATTAACCCGGTTAAAGCACCGGACATTCGCTTTTCGTCCTCTCAGTTTCGTGGGCAGCAGCCCCGCCACGAGAAGGCAGCGAGTAGGACCTCACTGGCAGTGGCTGTATACGTGTGGCCATGTGAGAGCATTTCGAGAGGGAGAGCTGACTCTGCACTCTCGGCCGACCACCACCTATCTTGACGGGCGTATTTTTCTTTTGTAGGATTAGATTGGAAGAAAACTAAGGAAGGCCAAAAGAAGATGTGGCATCATCCATCGAGTCGATGACTGGTAGACTTGTCCATAAAATTACATGCATATTACTTGGTTGAGGGTTGCGCGACTACAGCAACCAATGGTTAGAGACTTATGACGGCATAGCTTGGAGTTCACCGCAATAGCGCATGTGCATTCATTCTTTATCTCCCCTTAGTTTCTGAATTCTAAAATCTCCTTATACCTTTTTTTCTACACCTCATCTCTTCCATTACTAGTGATATTGTTAATACTTATTCTGCTCTGAGATTTGACTTAATAATTTTATCTCATTATGCTAATGTGGTATGGCAGCTTGAGTATGTCAGGTTCAATGTTGAATATAACTGACTTGCTAACTTAGCCTTTAGACGACTGAATTAGGATTCAATAGTTTACATTCCTAACTTCAGTCAACCGGAAACATTATGCGATTATGATTCATTTCCATTAGTGATTTGTCTCATGCCAGATGCAACCGCTTACATTAATAGTCATCATGTGACTAACCTTTAGAAGTAATACCCTGAGTTCTAGTGAGAAGCCATGACTTGTGTAGTTCAGCCACGTCGAGTGTAGAATAAATATTACCAAAGTTAATGGATGATGGTTGTATAATAAGGAGCATTGACTGAAGTTAGAAATGTAAAATATTGTATCTTAAGTCAGTTATTTGAATGTTAAGCATTCGTCGCAGGACCTGGTCTTAGGTTTAACTCTTGGTGAGACTTTGGATGAGAACTATTGGATTCTGAACTAGTACAAAACAGCTGTCTAGTTTTCAATGATTGTTTAACTAAAGTCATTCAATGATGTTATTGAGAATGATATATCCCCAAATACAATGTTTGAGTAAGAAAATCAGTCTTGAAATTCGAACATCAGTTTAAAGCGATTTTCACTTGGTTGGTGTTCAATGTATTTTTATCGTATTGGTTAATTCACTATGATTTTGAATTCAGTAGCAATTGCTCAGTAATTTATAGCTATTTATTGATCAATATATAATCTGAATAAACTTGAGTGTAACCTGATTCTTCTGGAGTCGCTATTAAGAAGAACCTTTAACAAAAACTCAGACTTCTCACTCTAGTTTGTATTCAGGAAAGAAGAACATAGGACCGATCTCATTCATCGTATTTGAAGTCGTAGTCACAAATAATTAACCAAGTATACATACATATCAGATGTAAAACTACAAATTACTATTAATGGCAACTAGTACTGTGGGTTATAAAACCTTTAAGGTAATTCACTTGGTTGGTTTCAAGGACCTTATAATTTTAAGACAATGAAAACTCCTATATATGTTTTGTCGTAACCAAGCTATCCTCAATAATTTACGTTTTTAATCTGCTTAATAAAATTAGGAACTAAATGGTTTCGTAATAACGACATTTCCGCTGAGGTAGGAAGTCAGAACCTTGAGGTTATTATTGGAGTTTTGGTCATCCAGTGAGAAAATTTTCGAATGTTTACAAAACGTACGCTACTACGATGAATAATCGAGATGTCTTATTGATCAAAATCTCCAATAAGAACTTAAGGAAAATCATCATTCTGCAGCTGGTCACGAACCACATAGTTAATAGGTTTTAGGTATTTAGTAAACAGTTTGACGATTAAGAGATATAGACGATGAGACCACCCGAAAGTTTGTCATGACCACTGTTGCTAATGTTTCATCGCAAAAACAGATATACATCTAATTTACCAATTACAGTATGGTTTTGTATATTAATTGTATGACCGTAAACTTTAGGTGGAAATTAAAATGTTTCATCCAAAATGAAACGCCTGATACTCATGGTACCAAAAAATTTAAAAACAAAAAACTATTCCTATATAATCACATAGATATGTTAACATGTTTCTCCTTAATGAAGATGCTCACCTCTGCAGGTTCAAATATCCGTTCGACAGCCTCTTTTATTTCGAAAAACGATAGAAGAATAGCCAAGATAGTGGAAGCGAAAACGGCAACTACTTCAAATCTTTCATACCCCAAGCTATACGATTCAACGGAGGCTTTTTTTCTGTTAGTCCAAAAGCTTATTAGAGCGACAATAACCGATAATAAGTCGAATATCAACAAATGTGTAAATGCTGTCAACGTTAAGCTAAATTTATGAGAAATATGAGGATTTATAACTAACCTATTACTAATATTGCACTCTATCAACAAGTACAATAAACAAGCTAGGATAACAAAAGCGATACGAACAGCGCGTACTGCTTTAGCTTCAATTTTTGCTAGCTGTTTAATCTCCGATACTAAGTATGATATTAAAGTATGTGCAGATTGGAAGTCCTGATAAACGGCATTGATTAGCTGTAGGCAAGAAAACATTCTGAAAAGAGAAACAACTAATGATTAACAACACTTATTAATGTTTTAAATAAAGAAAAGTACAAACTGAAATACGATATTATATTCATATTAAAACAGTTATCAACATTTCTATAGTTTATTTTATTCCAAAGAAGAGTCCTCACGAACTGTTTCCATTGTTTTAGAGACTGTTACGCAATCTGATGTCTGGAAGGCCTTCGGAATAACATTACAGTCTTCTTTATCATCAGAATCTCTACTACAGAAATGTTGATCAAGTCTCTTCATATCCTCTGGAAAATTTGAATACAATAGTTTTTTTATGGATCGAATACGTTTGAAGACATCATCCATTTCCTTTTTTAGTGATATTATTGTCTTTGTATGAGCAGTTAGTTCTGTAAACAGTATTTTACATCTTCCGTCAGAGAGCTCAGAAACAGTTCGAAGCATCTCATTTGTTTTTTCAAACTTGGTAAGCATAGCTTCTTGTAACGCAATTATATTTACTGCCTCTGAAGAATTGATCATATTTTCGATAGAAAAATTAAGTGACCGAGAGGATGACATTATATACACAGAACATCTAAGTTGCGAAATAAAGTAAAATGAATATAAAGAGTGGGAGTTCGTGAAACGTTAACTGATGTCATAGATATACAAATTTTTGCTCATCGAAAAAAATACTACTCACATTCTTTATTTCAGATACTGAAGACGAAATTAAGTGACACTAACATTTAGTCTAGCCTAGTTATCCACGTATACTTAAAAACATGTACAAGAAAGTCTTTTAAATTTAATCCATCAAAAAGAACGTAACATTCTTTGTACTCCAAAGGTACAAATTAGATGCTTTACCTAAGGACACCATTTATCAAATGACTAAACGAGATTTAGATAGATTATGGCATTGTATATCCAAACAGTGTAATCAATATAATCGAGGTCTAAAAGCGTTTTTCTAACTAACAGATTTATACCACCACTAACCCCATCCTTTGGAGCTGTTTTTAACAAGTCAGCTACGGGAATGGTGAGACTAAGCAACAGTCCTTAATCTCACTGCTAGGTTGGAACACTACAGAGTGGTTATATCCCTTTATTTCTTCTGATGTATTTGTGCGAAATGCCTTCAAAGCCCTGAGAAACTTCCCAGATGCTTTTCTTCAATAGACAATCATACATCACAATCCCATCCAACGAATCAAAGGTAATTTTGAGATAAATAAATGCAACAACTGTTAGCCCGGAATAAGTGTCAAGATGCCCCAACACTTGGCGGAGGATGCGCACATCCACTACGAAAGCGAAAACCACCCCTTTCCTCCTGAGTCAACTTCTCACAGATTTTCATAATCTTCATGTATATCTTTTCTGTCTTTTTCAACCATATTCTCAATACTTGGTTTTAACTAGCAACTAGACACATTTTAAGTGTGAGGATTAATGATAGTATCCGACCGCCCACACAAAAGTAGAGCAGGGTTCGGACATAGGACTTAATGCTTGAAAGCCACTGTGCTTCTGACGTCATTATCATCGCTAATACATAATCCTGATTCCCTTTTTACTGATCTTATTGATTTCATCTTGTTGTGGTTGTAATGAATAGCAACTTGGGCTAACGCACACCTGAAACACATGCTTAGAAGCAATGGAGAGCAGACTTACACTACGTTCATTAATCTATAGACTACGAAGACCTTTCATAAAGGTCGATCGATGAGTTCCTTAGGATTTCTACTTTACTCGAAGACAGATAATCACTGGACAAGATGAAAGTGGTAGTCTACCTGATGCATCGTATACGAGCAGTTTAGGGTTCCCCTCAGAGTGCGCTGCCGAGTATTCAAGATACATTCGAGGAATATTAATTGGAGTCTCACTAACTTCATTGACAACCGACTTACTGCTGCCAGTGGTTTAAATAAGTGAAACTGATATATCCGTACGAGAATTATGAATAGTAACTTTTGAGAACTATTTAAGGACCGATACGATACATGAATTTTGATTGTATAATTTTCAAGTAGCTAAACTATGCATATTTTGACCCATAGACTATTATTATGGGATTAGCCGTTCTTTAGTTATGCCCAGTCTATTAATTGCAGTCTCCCACATTCACAGCAACTTTTGGCTAGATCTTGTACAAATGTTGTTTTCTATTTTGTGGTACAATGTGGTCTTTTGGGTTTGCATATAAACCTAGTATGTTTGAAATACATGATTCATATCACAGAGGCTGAAATCGGTGTTCTGGGCTCAACAGGCAGGGCTAGGCGAGAATAAAGACTCTAAACTGCTCGTATGGATACGGCCTGAAACTCATCAGCACGTCCCGATTACTAGGTTTATTAGGCTTTAGGTAGGCTTCGTGAGATTTTATGAGTAAAAAACCTACATGCACCACTGTCAGTCAGTCAGCTACAATGTAGGACCAGGCACATATATGCATCGGTCCAAGTTGCCATATCTCGTTAGCACAACAAGATGAACACCGGATTCATAGAAGTAGTTAATTTAGTGGTGGTAGTATACAAAAGATAGATTGTATATAAGGATATAGTATAGAAAGGAAGAAAGTTATGAAGCAACTTTAATCTCAAGGTTCAAGGGAAGACAAAGAGCATATACACCTACGCCATTGTGATCGATTCTGAGTCATGTCACCTAGAGTCTCCATACAATTGGTTACGATAGTCACGCAGACCCCAACCAATTAGTCTGTATCTGCCAACATGGCTCAGACTAGAAGTTAGTGAATTCATGCTCTGATGTCACGACCTGCACCACTGACTTTTGATTCACTAGAGAGGACCAGCAAATTTGTCATCTTTCCAGAAGTGATTACAACCCAGGACAACTGCGTTTATAAAGCTTGAAACGATAAAAGGGACTGGAAGTCAATCAACATAGAATACATCCATGTGATTTTATGGCTAGTGAGAAGCGTTTGGTTATTACTTAGAAATGTAGGACTTAACAAAAGTTACTTTGCGATTCGACAAAAGTCAAGTTACAAAAATACGACTTTTGAAGTGTATTATTTATTTGAAAACATAAATATTGGTACAAGGGAGCACCAGATATATATGCACCACACAGTGGCAATGAGAATGGGGAGAAAAAAAAGTAACGTGCGTACAAAGGAGAAGGAAGAAAGAACAATAATGACCACAGATTAGTGCATGGAAGTGTAATAATAATAATAATACGGCGAACGGAAAGGTAAAACCATAAAGAGTTCTTCCAGTTAAAGAAGTTACGTTCATTTTTTATGAAGTTAAATAAACCTACATCAGGATTGCCACCGGTTTCTATTTTGAGCCATATCTGATAACGTCTCTAGACACTGTATTGCACCACTAAAGGACCCCAAAAAGGGAGTTGGGAAGGACCAACAGAAGATAGTCATATACAACTTTCTTTCATACCACGACACCATGTCATACATTGACCACCTCTCCGCTTTTTCCAACCAATCCCAGCGTCAGCAAGTAACGCATGATGTGGAATTCTCTGGGATGATATTCGTAGATCATATCCGAGCCACCGAAGTCGATGATCTAAATTAGTCATACCAATTGTTTATCGTCACTGAGCCCGAGCACACGATGCCAAACCTCTCCATTACTAACATGGTGTCGCCACTGGACGTCAGCAATCCTTTGTAGACAACGATGATCAAACACAAATAGTCGTCTAACATCCTCAACTGGGAGAGGCCAGGGCAAAATTTCTCTTACTGACGCGTTGTAGATCCGACCTCTTACAGCCAGACTGAAATCATGAAGGCACAAAAGAAGGCCCACATTAGCATAAGCAGCTCTGGCTTTCAATATACGTGAATTGATCTCATTACTCACGCCACCACTAACACTTATGCAGCTACCCAGATACACGAACTGCTTAACTACTTCTATCTACTCACTACCCAGGGTGAGTACAGGATCAGGGTCCTGTCGGTCTTTTAAAAGTACTTTGCACTTAGAAGGCACAAGAAGCACACCATACCTACGAACACTAATTACCAACTGATTAAATGCGGATTGCATGCCTTGGGCATTATCGCACAGTAAAAAAGTATCATCCGCATACTCAAGGTCGAGAAACCTTTCTCCAGGCAACAGATCCACACCGTCATTACCTACATTTATCAGAGCTGTTTCCGGAATGTCATCGATGGCAAAGTTTAAGAGGAATGGTAAGATTGAGTAACCCTGTCTAACCCCACTGCTTGAATGGAACAATTAAAAAAAGTGATTGTATGCCCTCTACCTGAGGTGTTTGTATATAGGACTTTTAAGATGTCAATGTGTTGTGTGTTGACAAATTAAACGTGATTTTATATTTGATTTCAAACCATATCTGACACTCGATATACAGTACATATCTATCGAGCGCAACATTTTGCTAATGATGAATAGGAAGATACTAACCCAGTCCAAAAAACTCACCCAGTTACTTATCAAGGATATCTTGCACACAACATGACCACTACTTTTTTTGCATTCCTTAAGCTCTGAACTATGGACATTCTTTTGAACCTAGATATAGAAACGTAGAAATTCGGTTTAGCAATTTTTGTTTGTCAGCAGGAAAATATTTTTGTCTCCGGTTTTCTCACAGCCCTATTTTTTAATTAGTCAGATGGGCTAATTTGCCAGTGGATCTCACAGCTGTAGCTATCACAGCTAACTGTGAACTATTTGACTAAAACTGTAAATACGACGTCCCAACAAGAATACTACCTACTTCAGTGACTTGCAAACTGAGTTTACAAAAACAATCTGTGGCTAATATTCATATTATGAAGATGCATACCCGTAGACAAAACCGATGTCACTTTACCACGTAACACACTGACCGACAAGGGCGCCGAATAAATATATCTTTCAACATCGATTAGTGTAAGACTTTTCATCCAGGAACGTGTGTGAGATGTATGCATTTCTTGTCATCTTAGTAAGTCAGAGAGGGTATGGTTTCATTTTAATTTTTGTTTTGTTTTCGGTATTTTAATTGGTTTTTCAGTGTCCACGGTCTGACTTGAAGATGTCACAAGTAGTTGGATTTTGACAACACCTTAACCAGTAACAACTTCTATAACTGAATCATGCTCACCCAGTGAAGTCAGAAGCGAAGAGATTTGAAGATATACTTGGTAGGTTATCAATGCATGGAGAAGTGATTGAATTAAACTGCCTGGCGGTTGTAGGAGTAGTTGAGATCAGTGTTGCTACTACTGATCTGATCGAAATGTGTGACCAAGTGCCTTCAGCTAAAGTGTTTTCAATAAAACTGGCGAGGTCAGCATCAATATCGAAGATATACAGAACTATTTATTTTGAGGATTTATTTATCGCTCCAGATCACTCCTTCCCAAGTGGGGTAGTCAGAAGCTCAAACCCAACGACTTTGCCATTGGTAAAAGCTCTTCTCATATCTCAGTTCAGTAGAGTCTGGTCGTCTTTCCTTACTGTATGGGGCCACGTGACACTATATAAAAATGAAAATAAATGCAATGGAAATTTCTATTCATCGTTCAGACTCACATTCATAGGGGGTGACGTACGATCCGCGAACTATCCTGGAAGTCGGAGTGTAGTTCCATAAAACAGTTGAGCTGCAGTGTATCTAATATCAGCTTTCACTGGATTTGGAAGAGTGTCAGTGTGATGTGAAACATTTACAGCTGAGAGTGAAACTTTAGGCTGTTGGAGAAAGCGTTCTACCAACTCGTTTGCTTGTGGGTGGAAGACGGTCGTTCGGAATCGTGTGATTCCTAAAGTGTGGTCAGATAACGGAAAAGTTCAGATTCCAACTAATGTCCACGGTATGTAGTGATAGTTGAATGGCAGTTGGAAATAGATACCCACCGTTCGATGAAGGCGCGAACCACTGTTTCAGCAGTAATGTCCATAGTGGGTGCTGCTCCTGGTCATCGAGTGAAACGGTCTACGCAAGTTAAGAGATAAGTGTATCTATTCGAATCTGGTACGGGTCCTACCAAATCAAGATGAACATTGTCGAAATGAGCATCGGGAGGTTTGAAAGGGCCCAAGGGATATTTTCTGTGTATTCATCTTAAATTTCGGGCAGATTACACAAGAACGTGCCACTCCCTGGCATCTTTAATCATACGAGGTCAACAAAAACGTTCTGCTATGAGCTTGATGGTTGCTCGTGCACCTGGGTGAGAAAGCTTGAGCAACGTACTGAAGAATTTGTAGTAATAATGTTTCGACACCATTAGGTGATCTCTATTAATATATGTGTCATATTGCAAAGTTTTCTTATCTGTTTCTATCTGTTTAATACGCAATTTCAGGGTTATTGAAGATAGTTTGTGCTGAATATCAGTGTCTTCCTTTTTAAGCTGGGTGAGTCTATGAAGGTCTATTCCTTGAAAATTCTTCACTGAAGTTATACGAGATAAACCGTATTCAACTAAATAGTTTGCCCCAGAAATATGTCATATATCTGAAAAACGCTGAGAAATATAGTTCAGTTGTCGAAACTCTCGTGGGGAGTACGTGTCTGAAGATGGACTTGAAGAGACAGTAAGAGGTCTATGGTCGATGATCAGAGTAAATTCTCGGCCTTCAGCAGAGTGCTGGAAATTCCATGCAGCACGATACATGGCTAGGAGTCCCCTGCCGAAAGTGATATACCTCAATTCAGTGTCTTGCTTTTTTGTATGAACTATCTATATAAACTTACTAGACCTACAAACGTGCTTTGTCGGTTCTGTGTAATCGAGAATAGCCGACGCTTTGCTTTACAGATGTCGCATGCCTTGAGCACCATTAATGTGTTCAAGAAAATCTAGGGAGTCAGTTCCTATTTGAAAGTTTCGAATGTTTACAGTAATGCCGTGTTTTTGCAGTCATTAGGAAACAAGGTTCAAATAATGGAGATTAGATCCTCTGTCCGGACATGCAGTCAAGCAGTCATCAACATACGCATGTACGAAGTTGATACCACGAAAAACGTCATCACCGATTGTAAGTTGAGCACTGGTTCGTGCGGTCACTGCCATTGTTCACAAGCATCTTATGGGTACATAAGTGTTGTGAAGAAACCACTTCGGGTTTCTTCAAAAGTGCAATAATGCACAAGTTTTATAAATGTCAGAATTGTATTTGACATATTTTAAAAAGAGAAATGAAAGAAAATAATAATAGCATAATAATAATGTTGGCTGTGTGTAATTGAGAAGAATATTGAATTGATTTTAAAGGAGGGAAGGAAGAAACTAAGGATATAGAAATAAAGGAGACGCGAGATTCGTAAATAGTTTAATAAGCGTGTTTATAAACACAGAACAAGAATGAAAATAAAATAAATCAAAATAAATTGATAAGTAAATAACTCGTTATTGCGGTAAGATATAACGTTAGAATATAGGCTTGTGCAGTCATAGGTTGGAATGATGCTGCGAAGGATAATCAATGTGTATGAGCCATATACTAATAGTGAAGATGAAACGAGTCTGAGAAGTTGATTTAGGCGTAACACGAGTGATTTTCCTAATTACATACTTCGTAATCCTAAGAATAAAAGTTTTTTAAAGGAAATAGGAAAGAAAAGAAATGAACACCTAGTGAAAGGGTCCAACCATGATAATAGTTGTGTAATGAATATCGACCTCTGAAGTAAACCAACAATCAAAAAATCCCTCTAGTGCACTCAGATAAATAAATGTAGATTCATGTAACAGTATACAGAGTGAAACCGGGTGTTAATAGAAACACTTGGGCAATAATAGTTTAGAATGATGCTATGATAATCACAATTAATTGCAAGGGATAACCAAAAATAAATTTCTGTGTTTTATATATATGATGAAGATAAAACGAATCAGAGATTAATTGTTCAGGTGCAACATAAGGTAATTTTTTGTTATAGACTTTGGACATTTACGGACAAAATATCTTTAGAAAGACAAGAAGAGATGAAAAGAATATCTGATGTGTCGAGGGACCAATAGTAATATTATTAACAGCAATAATTATAGATACGAACATAAGCAGACTTAATATATTAAAATGGATAAAAAATAAAATAGACTTGAAAAGTCTCAAAGGTTCAAATTTGTTTTTCAGTCATTTGGATAGATGATGGACCTTGTTTGCATGAATCATTGTCAAACACATTGATGTTCATTAGGTGACAAAGTCCACTTTCAGAAAGAATATCATGGGGAAGACTTCGGAACCGGGTCGTAGTTTTGCCGCAACGTAGGTTCCCTGGTAGTCTGCTCTATATGGTTGAGCAGCGAATAACGAAGGAATTCTGGCGTAGGTTTGTGCAGGTTCTCGGAATCACAAGAATATTTTTCTTATTAAGTAGATTGTAGAATGATGTCATAGAATACGAAGATGTGGATGCTGAAGAATAAGAAATATCGTGAATAAGCCGGTAGATAAAGACAAGATTCAATTTGATACGTCTGATCCAGAGAGGTTGTAGTTTGAGTTGTTGACAACTTTGGTGATAATCCTTGCTGTCGGAATACCCCAAAACAGCTTTAGTGAACCTTCTTTGAACACCTTCATTTTCGATCAGATAATTATGACTGCAATGACTGTAAACTAAAATACCATGTACAAGAATGAGTAAGACGCATTTTCTGTATAATGATAATCTCGATTAGATATTATTGATGTTTATCATTATGAATCCAATGAACTTTCTAGCTGTGGGTACTTGGGATGCAATGTGCTCAGAAAAGTTCAAACTTTTTTTATATCTCAAATCCAAATCACGAACAGTGTTGAGAGGTTTCAGTGTATGTTTATGTACAGCCGGATATAGGTTTGGGCAGCGGCCAACGTGGATAAATCCACTTTTGAAGAATGAATAATACTCAATACAACTCTATGATCGCTCATAAAAAACTAATGACTGATATGCACTCAGTTAAAGTCTATGTTGATTGTAATCAATAAATCAAGTATATCGCACCTCCTGGTCGGTTTTCGAACTTGTTGGACCCATCCACAAAGTTCTAATGTTTCGACTAACTTGTCATATCAGCCTGGTAACGAAGTCAAACCCATGTGATATCCGGCAGGCTAAAATCACCTCCAATGATTTTAGACGTATGCGGCTAGTGCGAAGCAATGAATATTTTTGTTAATAATCTATTAGCATCAGTCGGAGCTATCTCTCTCTCGTGAGCTAGAAAAATATTTTTCTTGAAGAACTCGTTTGAGTAGCTTGTAATCGTTTACAGTCATGACGGATACGAAGGTAACGTATCAGAGTATGATAGAGTTCCGTAACGTCATTTCGTGTCGTTTGCGGGTTTTCTTTGATTGAACTAACCTCTGCGTTAGAAATTTTGGTCGGATGCTTACCACATTATCTTTAATGGACTCACCTAGCTGAAGGCGCTCGGTCATGCATCTGCATCAGATCACGCGTGGGAATGTCGTGCGTAACTTCCCCTGCGATCGCTAAGCAGTTTAGACCAGTCACTTTCTGATATATTGATAACCAATCAAGTATGTCTTCGAACCTCTTCGCTTCCGGCTTTTGACTTCACTGGGTGAATTATAGAAGGTGTTACTGGTTGAAGTGTTGTCAAACTACAATACCTGTGACATCTTCAGCAGCAAATATCCCCGTTTTCATGAATGACTAATAAATTTATTAAAGAAAGTTCTTGGTTTAAACCAGCACATCTGAGTTATATAATTCCCATTTAAACATTAAAATTAAAAACACGAAGTTCAGCGAAGGGATCTCTTTTCAACGAATTTATTATCAGGCTGTGCAGTCGTATATATATATATATGAAAATGTTTTGTTAAAGTACTAATTTCGTGAGGAAATGTGAACACTAATAATCAAGATTATAAGGCTGAATTACCTAATACGAATAATAACAATAGATTTAGTGAATATAATAAGATGAATAAAATGTATTGATTACAATAATTAAAGGTCATAGAGGTGTAAAATAAATAAGATGATATGATGAGTATCCATGAATAAAATAATGAA